GTTTAACAGTGTATTCATGCTTAAAGCACAGCTAAAGTCTTACACCTTTTATCTTTTATAGTACTGTACCACCCACATGTTATAATTACTGATTTTTCCTTAGGCATGCTTTCAAATACCAATGTTTCTCACTGCAAATGCTACTTTCCACCCTTTTCTATAGTACTAAGGCAGAGCTGAGTGACAGCCACATCCCTTAACACAAGTGTCATCACATGGACTTGTATTGCAAAAAGAAGGAAGGGGTGTCTGTGCAGGACTGTGTGAATTATTAGGGGCAGTGGATCTTCTCTGATTCCTATTGGACACCACATCTGCTGTCACAAGACACTGGATGTTGTAAATACGAGGTCTATTAGACTGCATCCTTATTTCTGTGACTTCAACTGGGCTTTAAGTTACAATCAAATTAAGGAAGTGTAATTTTATACAATACAAATAATTTCCCCAGGTTTGTCTGAGCACAGACTTAGAGATAGCTAAAGGATATTGTCATCTTTTCCACAAACTTATCCTTCTCATCAGCTGGTGGCGGGAAGCTGTCAATGTTCTTCTGAAGGTCTGATATTTGCTTTTTCATTTGATCCAAATTCTTTTGTAAAGTTTCCGCAGACACTGCAAAATACAAGCATTTCACACAGTACTGTGAGGGGCCATGTTTTCAATAAAACAGAAATATTCAAGTGACTAAAAATCTTAAAAATGCATTCAAGTACCCCAACTACTAACACAAATGAATCTTATTTGTGCATCACATGGCTGTAGATCCTCAAACCATCTGTGAATTCCTGCTTACACTGCCCTTTCTGCTGGAGGGTGGTTCATTTTGTGCCCTTCTGGTTGTAGCACTGTACTCGCTGGCTCTGTCCTGCCACATGTATTACCCTGAGCAAGAATACGACATTATACTTCATTTCTGTACTTGTTTATCTTTTTCATAATATTTTGCATATGTGTAGACATTTATTTATATGTTGGCTGCACTATACTATATTCATAGTGTTCTTTGACACCCCTGATACCCCTGAGAAAGCAGTGCAGTTCCCAAGAAACATGTAGGAGTACATTATATCCAAAGATCACTATGGTTCTTCTTTCCTGTTAAGTGTGTTGTATACGCATAAAGAATGGCTTGACTACCTCCACATCATAGCCCTCCTCTCGAATGGGAGTATCTAAATACTGTGCATGCTGGCCTAGCTCCTCTGTCTCTTCCATTGCTTCCCAACATAAGCTTTCATGTAACTGCAGGGTGAAGGGCAACAAGGAATACTAACAGGGGTGTCAAACTCAATTTAATCGTGGGCCGCATCAACATTATGGTTGCCCTCAAAGGGCCTGTAAGACTATATAAATGTATCTAATATTTATCATAATTGCCTCTGCATTTGCTTATCACTGGTTTTACTAATAACTTAATACCTAGATCTGAAAGTAGAAGTCTAGGAAATGGCCTGGTGGGCCAGATTCGGCCCCTGGGCCTTGAGTTTGACACATGTGCTGTAGAGTGTCCTTTAAGTGAGAGCTCTGAATTCATACCCAAGATGGCAGTGCCCAGCAGCTTTTCTCAGGCCTTTTAGATGTCTACACAAGGGAGGGTTTTACAGGTAAATAATGCGCAGGAAATACATACATGATCTTAAAATAAATGGTTGGGTGACAAGGTCTCTTTACCTGCAACAGAGAGAAGTCAGCTTGCAAACCTGGCCATGTTATATGACAAAGGTGTGTAGATCTCAGCACAGGATATACTGTGTGCCTTTAAACAACTGCATACAAACCAATTTTTTGGCAGACACAGTTACTTATAGGAATTGTACAACTGTAACAATGTCCTGCTGAATTTAACAATTTAATTTTAAAAACAGGATCGACCGCACTTGGCAGGGTCCAAACAAGCAAATGAAACTGCCTCCATCAAGAAAGATAAATATACCTCTACTGGCCTTTTCTACATGAACAATCTCATCTGGGAACTGTAATACATCAGGGTAATCTTGTTCACAGGTTTCAGCTAAGAAGTGTAACAATGTTGTCTTCTGGTCACCTGACTTGGTGTCTTTAAGCTGAAAAAAAAACCAAAATGAACAAAATAACGCCAAAGTTGCATTAGTACAGGAATGAATAAGTATTCATCTCTGCAGAAAGTGATCATTGTCATTTTATTTTACCTTGCAGAGAAAACCAATCTCAAAGCCAAAAGCACCAGCGTTCCGGGACCCGGCATTCATAAAGTTTCCGACAAGCAGAGTGAGCTCTAGAAGGGTGGCAAAGTTCTTACTCTTCTGCACCTCTTCACATGCGGCTGTTACTGCAACAATGTCTGGCTTGATGTTTTCTACATGTTCGTTAAACATGAGTTTAAACAGGATGGCGTTGAGTCGTGGTTGAAGCTGCGGGACTGTGCTCATCTAAAAATAATTACCAATTTTAAAAGTAGTACAGGGTGGTAGTTCCATGGATAGTAAATTATTCACAAAACATACAATGTCAGCACCTTAAAGCATAATGATAGTTCAGCATTTTTCTTTAGTGTAAAGTGGTGATGCACCGATACCGGTATTTTGGTACCGAGTACGAGTACTGATAAAACATTTTCGGTACTCGCCGATACCAATTACCGAGTATCGGAAGTCCCATTCAGGAAGCCAGGTGGCGTGTAATGACTCGCCACCCGGCTTCCTGATAAACAAGAAAGTCCCCTCTTACCTTGGTATGTCCAGCCTGTCAACCCCGGGGCCTCTCCAGCCAGAACGCGGCCTTCCTCCGGTACCCAGTCGGAGGCGTCTAGCGGGCCAATCAGCAAGCCAAGCGCCGTGTAATGACGCAATGCCCTGCTTTCTGATTGGCCGGGAGGTCGGCTCTATGCTCCCTTGTCATGAGATGACGAGGGAGCACGAAGCCAGCTTCCCGGCCAATCAGAATGCCGGGCGCTGCGTCATTACACGGCGCCCGGCTTCCTGATTGTCCAGCTTCCCGACCAATCAGGAAGCCGGGCAGAGCGTCATTACACGCTACACTTCTTCCGGATTGGCCGGGAAGTCGGCTCCATGCTGTCTCATCACAAGTGACGAGACAGCATGGAGCCGCTTCCCGGCCAATCAGGAAACCAGGCAGCGCGCCATTACACGGCCTCCTGATACAGTAAGTACTCATGCTAGACATCGGAGCATAATACTCGGTATCGGCACAGATATCGATACTAGTATCGGTGCATCCCTAGTGTAAAGCTTTGTATAGAATGGGAAGCATTAGAAACATAATCAAAGGCATTCGAAAAAAAAAAAAATCAAAGGAAAGGAAATCCCCTCATAAGTTGGCTGTACACTATTAGAATTTTTTTGTTCAGCCTCACAGGCTAAAAAAGAAACAATGTTCAATTACCCATTAACATAAAACTGCATTGATGAAGGAATCTTCCCCTTTGGCTATTGTATTCTAATAGCTGGCAGTGTAAGCTCTCAGAATACTGAAGAGTGACTGCAGTAAATTGGCTGCAGTTACTGTTCAGCTGACAAATTTTGACCTGGCTTCTTTGACAAAAGTGGATTGAAAAATCGCTTTCTGGCCAATGAAGTGATGCCAACAGGGCGGCACACAGTTTGAATTTCAGCAGGACACGTGTATAGGCAGCTTTAGACCCTTATTAGCAGAACAGGCGTCTCATTGGAAGATTTCCCCTCACCTCCTCTTCTAGTGACAGCGTTAACATTTTGAAATTCCCTGCCACTTTCTGTCCTGGTGGCAATGGCAACACCATGGCAAATAGAGATAGTGGACAGGGACAGCAATAAAAATCTGACAAAGGCTCTAGCCCTTTGCAAACCTAGAAAAAAAATATGTTTTGGCTCCAGTTGCACAGTAGTGAAAGTTCCCTAGTTGTTTGAGTGTGTTACGGGTCCAATACATTCACCAGCCCACATGTGGCTTTTTCACCTATATAATACTAATCATTCTTGTGCAGTGGAAGTTCAATAAATGTTAACAAGCCCTAATGGTGCTCATATATTCCTTTTGTAATTTACCATTGAAAAGTTTAATATCTCCTACTATAATTATACTCATACTCGGGTTAATGTATATACACACATACCACTGTGGGTATATACATGTTTATTAAAAAAAAAAAAAACATGCATAAGAATACCAAAACTTACCACGACTCCAAATTGCTCTGGCTCTGCCAAGTCATTGTACTCATCTTTATGTTCTGTTAACAACTGAATCTTTTCATCTTCTGGCAACTGCTTGATTAGATTCTAAAGAAAATAAAAGTGTAAAGGTAACTATTAATAAGCAATTGAAAATGTAAAACACATCAAACCCACCTGTGCTCCTAATGCAGTCAACAAAGACTTCTATTTCCTAAATATTCTTGGTTAACTTGGGAGTTTCTAAGACAAATTTGTTTCATTATTTTTAAAAATTAATCTATATTTCTAAAGCATTTTTTCACTGGGAGCTCAAAGCACTTTATCTCTGGATCTTCAAACTATTTTCAGGTTAGCAGCTTAAGGCAAGAAGGTTAGCAAGACAGCCAGGGAACTAGCAATTTCAGGAGAAGATGGCATAAGCAGCAGCAAAAAAAAAAAAAAGACATCATACCCAGATGTTCATTGTTTAGGTACAACCAGTAGGATCTGACACTTTTTGGTGCCTGCTATCTCCAGCAGCCTTATATTGGATGGCCATGTTGCATGCCCACACACACTACGCTCACATCACTGTTATGGAGGAGCCAAGAACAGTGTTCAGTCTCTATCTCCTTCCCCCTCTTCTTTACACTGTTATGTTAATAGCTAAAATACAGATGCAGTTGAATTCCCAAGGATAAAGTAAATCACAAGGCAGCAGACATAGCCCATAACTAAGGACAACCTTCTAGTTGCATAAAGACCACCACCACCTCCTACAGTGAGGAAAATAATGATTTGATCCCCTACAGATTTTGCAAGTTTGCCCACTTACAAAGAAATGAAAGGTCTATAATTGTTATCATAGGTGTATTTTAAATGATAGAGACAGAATATCAACCATAAATCCAGAAAAAACATGATACAAATGTCATAAATTGAGTTGCAGCTCAGTGAGTAAAATAAGTATTTGATCCCCAAGCAAAACATGAATTAGTAATTGGTGGAGAAACCCTTGTTGGCAAGCACAGAGGTAAGATGATTCTTGTACTTGGTTACCAGGTTTGCACACATCTAAGGAGGGATTTTGGTCCACTCTTCTTTACAGATCTTCTCTAAATCCGTAAGGTTTCTTGGCTGTCGCTTGGCAACTCGATGTTTCAGCTCCCTCCATAAATGTTCTATAGGATTAAGGTCTGGAGACTGGCTAGGCCTCTCTATGACCTTAATGTGCTTCTTCCCGAGCCACTGCTTTGTTGCCTTGGCGGTATATTTTGGGTCATTGTTATGCTAAAAGACCCATCTTCAGTGTTCTGGCTGAGCGAAGGAGGTTCTCATCCAAGATTTTACAATACATGGCCCTGTCCAATGGCCCTTCAATGCAGCAAAGTCAGCCTGTACCTTTAGCAGAGAAACTGCCCCAAAGCATAATATTCCACCTCCGTGCTTGACTGTAGGGATGGTGTTCTTAAAGGTCATAGTCAGCATTTTTCTTCCTCCAAACACGGCAAGTCGAGTCAATGCCAAAGAGGTCAATTTTGGTCTCATCTGACCACAGCCCACTCTCCCAATCCTTCTCTGAATCATTTAGATGTTTATTGGCGAACTTCAGACAGCCCTGTACATGTGCCTTCTTGAGGAGGGGGACCTTGTGGGCGCTGCAGGATCTCAATCGATGGCGGTGTATTGTGTTACCCAGGGTTTGTTTGATGACTGTGGTCCCAACTGCCTTGAGATCATTCACAAGTTCCTCTTGTGTAGTTCTGAGCTGATCCCTCACTTTTCTCATGATTATCCTTATCCCATGAGGCGAAACCTTGCATGGAGCTCCAGACCGAGGGCGATTGATGGTTATTTTGTTTTTTTTCCATTTGTGAATAATCGTTCCAACAGTTTTCCCTTCTCACCAAGCTTCTTGCCGATAGTCTTGTAGCCCATTCCGGCCTTGTGCAGGTCTAAAATCTTGTCCCTAACGTCCTTTGACAGCTCTTTGGTCTTGCCCATGGTGGTGAGGTTTGAATGGAAGAAAGATTCTGTGGACAGGTGCCTTTTATATACATAACGAGTTGTCGTTAGGAGCACCTTCTTAAATTGAGTACACTAATCTGTGTACCACATACCCAGCCTATGGGAGACAGAATTATTGTTGGTTGGTAGGGGATCAAATACTTATTTTACTCACTGAACTGCAACTCAATTTATAACATTTGTATCATGTGTTTTTTCTGGATTTGTGGTTGATATTATGTCTCTATCATTTAAAATACACCTATGATAAAAATTATAGACCTTTCATTGCTTTGTAAGAGGCAAACTCACAAAATCTGCAGGGGATCAAATAATTATTTTCCTCACTGCATATTCCTCTTTTTCCAGATGTCTGAAAGCGCACTTACCACAACCATAGACTCTGTCAGTACTTCTTCCTTCACTTCTAGGATTACATTTTTAATTTCCTGATAGGGCATGCGATATGAACCCAAAAAGATAGCTGTTAAAAAAAACAAACAGCAATGGACTATAACTTTACAGAAATAAAGTAAATTATATTAGCATATCAGCAAGTAACAATCATCTGTTTTTCATTTTCAAAGTCCACTCAGATTAAAGGGAACCTGTGAGAGATGCAATTACTGAGTCCTGTGACTTCCGGCCAGTCATCTTGAGAGCTGTTCAGACTTCCCTTGTTCTAAGACAAAGGGGTTGATTTACTAACCTTATAAACACGCCACAAACAAGTATACACCTCTGTAGTGTGTTCCCTACCAGCATGATCTATTGGTGCAATCTAGACACCTTTGTAGTGTGTACACACCCAGCAGGTGTGTTGTGCAAAGCCCTGCATAAATTTGCAAGGTGATGTTGTGTAAATTAGCTCTACATTGTGTTGCTTGCGTTGATGAATGCAGGAATGTAAATGCATGAGCTAACCATTTTTGTCTAAACTGTGAAGCAGCATTATATATGCATCATGTGCATGATTTTTCCATATATGGCATTAGTGGAAATATGCTTTTAGAGACTTTTTGGTTGATAAATACGTTTTGCTGTGTAAAAATCACACGCACCTAGTGCGTGCGTGTGTTTAGGTTAGTAAATCACCCCCAAAGTCTCACAAGGTAATTATAGACTGGGTTTTTTAGTACAGCCAGCAGAAAAAAATCAAATTGAAGTAGTGATAGTAGTAGGAAGTAATAATAGTATTAGTAATCGAAGGCCCCTGTATAGGGTTCATGAATTCATTAAGAATGGATTTTGATCAACATGTTGGCATTTTATTCATGACCAGTAAGGAAGACCTTTACTTCTAGTTCAGTCTTTTCAATTTCTTCCAATGGCTCTAGGAACACAAGCAGACCACAAACAGTTGGGTCCAACTTCCCAATTTTTCTGGCCGCAACTTTGACCAATTTGCTGCCTTCCAGTTAGATAATCGTGACCCAATATGCAGGCTTTACCCCTAAGGATAACCACCAGTATCGTTTGATCCAGCGCCACCATATACACACTTTGTCAATTGGTGACGCTAGGATAAGGGCCTAGACTACTACTTTGGACGGTGTATTACATATGAAGGCTGAAGCATTAAACTCAATTAAAAAAGCTACTCTTTTGAATCCACTGTTCATGTTCTCATATTCCTCTAGACCTGCCAATCAAGCTCCTATTTCTTGCATAAATTACATGGGCCATACATAGCCTATTCCTAGAAAAATGGAACATCAACTATTAGGAATAAGTGAGGTGTGAGGGGGCTTACTTATTTGATAATAATAAGCATTTCTCGTAAGTGTTTGTTAACCTACATCATATCAATTACCTAGTGTTATAGCTATAACAAAATCTTGGTGCACTAGGTGCTAATCCATCACTTCTTGGGTGAGACAAGAAAAATAAGGTGTTATTTTTGTGCAGCTACTGTTCATTGGCTGACTGACGGGGTATATTATGAAGGATTATGGGCAGATGTGCTTAGTTTCCAGCTTCCTGTACCCATCAGTCCAAGCATACATGGAAATCCAATTAATTAGAAAGTTTTTTTCCCCCCAACATTGTAACTGCTGATAACATTAAAGAAAATTCTGCGTAAAATAATGATGATAATGCACAGCTGTCCACAGTGCACAGAGAGGTTAGAGTTTTCGGTCAGACCTTTTTGTATTTATTACTGATGATTTAAAACAAAGTAAAATTTATAGCCAGGCAATATGCACTGAAAAATGTAAAGAGAAAGGACTATTCTTTTTTTTTCCAGGCATTGACACTTGTGCTGGGTTCTCTATCCTCAATCACTATACACATATTACAGGCTGCTGGAAGAAGCAGATGTAATGCAGCTTGATCAGAGGTTAAACTTTCTTTATACCTCTGAACAACAGCTGGGAGAGTTCTATTGCACTTATCCACCATCTGCTGCACTACGCTTCTTTTGAAAAGTATACTTGTACGGATTTAACAAACATCCCTGTGCCCTGAATGAAGGATGGTGAATAGGGCCTATTTAATGGCTGTCACAAAATAATAGTTCATAGTTCAGGGTTAAAGAGCACAGTGTGTAGCATAAAGAGAAGCACGTGCTTCTAATAGGCTGTTTTACACAGTTTTCACAAACACCCTTTAGAAAACAAAGCAAAACAATTTAAAAAAGAATGCTTATTAATTAGGAAATGTGATTAATATTATATTAAACGCCATTTCTCTTGATTTTGGTATTCCCATTTAGCCAGCATAATCGCTGGTTGTAAGTGCTAAATTTGATCAGCCTGCATGAAAGTCTGTTAATGTCAGTGCTGGAAAAGATGTCACAAGAAGGACACCAACAATTAATAAATAAAACTATATTGGAGGTTAAAGTTTGGTCATGTGCTTAAAGTGGACCTTTACACTTACAAAAACAAATTCTACCAATGCATACCTCTATGTAAGATGATTAATAATAACATAGACATGCCAGGTAGAAAATGCAGTGATTGTAAAATACTTACACTTGCAGAGCATTCACTTCCTGGTTTGAAAGGGCAAAAAGACTTCAGTTTGCCAAAGCAATGCACACTGGGATTGCCTTATCAGCAGAGCATTGCTGGGAAATCTCATCTGTAATCTCATGAGATCTCAGGGAAAGGCATTTTCCTCCCCTGAGTTGATGTGCATGGTCCCATGTCTTAGTCACATGTCTAGTCACATGTGCCAGAAACCAAGTAAATGGAGAGCTAGCAATCTGCCCTTAGTAAACATGGCCACTGCCAGAAGACTGGGAAAGAAAAGAGAAATAAGGTATGCAAAGAATACAATGGCGGCAATTATCTAGAAGTATGTGTTTGTAGATTGTCTGTCACTACTAAAACATTTCTAAAAGGTGTGTTTGTTGCTATTTTAAAGATATGGGTAAAGGTCCGCTTTAAGATTTTCCATAATTTCCTGGATCCAGTTGGACCATCACTTTCAAAAACAGGGTGAGGACTGGGCTGTGTGTGTGTTTGAGGAGTCTATGAGAAGCACTCCATATGTACATAGAGATCATAGAAATGCACAAAGTATCAAGCTGTTTCCTTATATAAGGAAAAAAAAAGAGGGAATGATACTGTCAACATGTATGAGCATTTAAGACCCATCAGCCAAGTCAGGTAGTAGATTAGCATGCCATCACCTTACACTTATGGAGGTTGAGGATGTGCAGTTGTTTTATCACCTGCCAATCTACAGCTAAGCAAATGTCAAAGATGACCTAATTAGATTGACAGGGGGCATAAGAAGTCTTTTAAAAATGTAATGTGACATGAAAAGATACCACATTCACAGATAAAAGTTGGATCTTGGCCAGGAAAACTAAGGGCCTAGGTAAACTGGTGTCAAATAGGGAACTTCAGAATTCCCTATTTACAAGGCAACACATTTGTTCAACATAAAAAAGCCATTAATGGAACTTTTGCTTCACACAACTGCATACAGAGGGCTTGTTCCACTATGAAAGAGCTGCATGTTACAGCCATGTGGAGGAAAATATCAGGAGGTAAAATTTAGCCTCTTGATCTTTACCTATGCATGTGCCAAGGATCAAGACAAGCAGGTTAGGTATGACACACAGGTCTTGGGTATGCAATATTAAGATGAGCACAGAACACGCTCATTATAATTTCCTAATAGATGCATGACATGACCACACTTCACCGGCAGTGGGCAATGCTACCAAACTTGGAACGGCTGTTCCTGGACTAAGGGTACCGTTGTCATCATGGTAACAGTCTCCAGATTCAGCTGTTTTCAACCAGATTGGGCAGCAATCTTGCATCCGAAGGTAAACACAAAACAGCAATCAAACTGATTTAAAAACCTGCCTGATCACAACCGTTTCCTCAGCATAAATTGCCTGTATGTACCTTCTCTGACCTAAACACAAATGCTTGGTGGGTCTGAGCATTTGTGTTTACACAGCAAGCTACCCATTCAAACAGATAGCCAGATCATACCCACACGTTCTATAATGTCTATGGACAGCTTCAGCTTTCCTAAGTAGGTAATGCAGGGACACAAATAGTTTTCACAACTTAATACCCTGACCGTGAATGTCAGTAGGAAAACTCATCGGAGGAAACCGACTTACATAAATTCTGGGCAGTTTTTTGGTCCAATACTTTAAGTTCTTTAATTTTCTTCTTCGGTGCAGTTTTCTTATCCTCTCCATCTTGCTCGGTCTTGGCTGCAGATCAAAGAGAAACAATAACATTAGCAGAATAACAGATGAAGTCAAAAGGAAATACATCTCGGTAATTCAATTTAATTCCACCTCTTCTCAAAGTCAACATCCCTGTACTCAATGAAAATCTCAATTTCAATGCCTTCAATCTGAACACACCCCAATAAGTCATCTATAGAGATATCGCACACACAGCTGCACACCTGTATGCCCCATTCTCAAAGTGTACAGAACGGGTTATGTCACATCTAAACAGTGATTATACTGGGAATAAAAGCAGCTTGCTCTTACTTGCACTGCTGGCTAATAAAAAGAGTTTTAAAAGCAAACTTCAGTGCAGTAAACTGAACACAGCAATTTATAAAAGGAAAAAGCTCCTGGGGACCTCCTTATACTGTCACTCTGCAGGCCGGGAATTTGTGGATATTGTTGAAATAATTGCTAACTTTGCCAACTTGACCCTAATGCTTACTGCAATGTAAAGAAAGTGTAGAAATTGGGAAGGAAAGCTGCAGACCGCAAGATGGAACACAATAGGCACTGTGAAAGTCCTGTTCAACCTGTCAGTGATGGTGTAAAATGAACATTCTGGAGGGAATTTATTAACGCAATTGCGACGGTTTTATCTTCTTTGATCACTTTTGTAAGTGAAAATTTGTTTCGCAGCTCCAGTTAAGATGTATGGCTGTTTTGCCCAGAGCGTACGCTATTTTCCTGATTGCAAGTGTTTGCGACAGTTTAGCTTTTTGCCTGGAGTTGCGTGTCTTCTTTCCTGGAGTCCATTTAATCTCATTTATGAACAGACATTACAATAGCAACATAAATCTGGCGCAAAACACGTAAAATATATCCCATGCGACCATAAGCGAGTTTAAACACTCGCAATGGTGCCTTTCGCACAGTTAGAATTTTTCCAAGACTGCATCATCAGTTCAGATCTTATAGAAATCCAATTAATACTCCCACTGCACAAAATTCATGACTTTCCGATCGGTATATGATAACGCTTTTCTTCCACACATACAACGTTTTTGTAACTAAACATTCAATTTGAATCACAACAGAACCTCAAATTCTAAAAGTTGTAAGAATACTAAATTGTGGATGGTTTAATGTGTCTATAAGCCCAAAAGAAAAAAATGTAATACATTGCAGCAACCAATTCTTAGATGTGGTGGCTGCATTACTTTTCTTTTAAGCTTTTCCCCTTTATTTTTACCTAGTGATCTAGCCAGTAAGTCTCTTATACAACTTCCTATAACAGACCGAGCTGTCCAACAAAAGTGGCATGTAAAGGGTTGAGACGCCCCATTTAACACTGACTATGGTTCGCACAATGGCCAACTTTTATTCATTTATGTAATAAAAATAAAAATGGTTATTGTCACTGCTTAAACGTGTTAGCTGGAGTTTGGCTTCATTTGTTAGGCAAGTCCATTCAAATCTACTAGTGAATCTTACATTACCCTCTCCATAAGGTGACAATGCTGTTCTCCAAGGGTGGCTCCGTTGCCCTCCACAGTGTGGAACCACCCTAAGACAGGAAGTGTGTTACTGGCCAGATCAGCAGAGGAAAATATAGGGAACAAAAAAAGAAAACCCCTAAAATAAGACAAACTAACACAGCAAGCACCATTAAGAGTTGGTAAGCTGCAATATATTACATTTAGTTTTTTTAGATAAACATCACTTTCAGAATTAATCCACTGGCTGTAAAACTTCTGGAAGAAAGATAATTTTTTTTTTTTTTACAAGAATGGGTAGGCCATGGTTCTTCTTTTGTAACAATGACACATTTTCCTATAGCCAAAGCATACAAAACACAGCTAAACTGGAAAACTCCCCATCTAGGTTGCCTAAGCACTTAGTACAATATGACTCAGTCATGAGAATGAAACTGACTCACAATCTAAGCAGGATATTAAATCACTGAAAGAACACAATGCAGTCTCACACTGCCCCTACCTACTAAAGTCTTGCTGTCAAGGATCACTAGTATAAAAAAAATAGGTTTTCAGTACATGTTCCCATACCTGAAACTCACCACTATGTTTTATGTACACAAAAAAAACACTTTAAAGTTGAACTCCAGGCACAAATTATTTCATTTAAATATATTGTTTAGTAGCCAGAAAGGCTATAAATCCATTTTGTGTGACATCATCACTGTACTATACATAGCATGTGTGGGGAGCAGAGCCGTAGAAGGTACTCAGTGGACTGCACCTACAGCAAAAAACTAGAGGAGGGGGCGGATACTAGACTAGAGGAGGGGGCGAATAAAGAGAGAGCAGCAAAGTCTTTACTACAGGAAGCTCCTGCTCAGAGGAAACGTTTCCCAGTTGCAAAGATCAGGATGAAATACACAAAGAACACTAAGATTCAAGTAACAATTCACATGCCACTTGTACTTAGGCTGGGTTCACACCTAGGCGTATTGAATATGCGCGTTTCGCGTCGTGCGATTTTACCGCGATTCGCGGTAAAAAACCGTGCGACAAACGCGCGTTTCCGAAGGCTACTTGGCTGTATCCCAATGGAAACGCCCGACCAAAACGCCCCAAAGAAGTACATGTACTTCTTTGGGCGTAGGCCGGTTTCCCGCGCGTTCGTACTCGTGGAAAAACGCCCTGATGGGAACCATGCACATTGAAAATAATGGCATTTCCCTGTTTGAGCGTTTTTCCGCGAGTACGAACGCGCGGAAAAACACCCAGGTGGGAACTGGGCCTTAGACAATATTTGATTATTCCAAAGCTAAACTTTTAGAAACTCCCTGACTGCATGCACACAGAAACCAGAAAAATGATCTGCAAAAAGCAGTTGCTATACAATGTATTAAAGACTGGTTGGTAGACATGCATTACAATCTGGACGTCGTTTTCCCAACTTGTTCACCGATCACTGTGGCCACTGTATGTCTGGCATGCAAGGGAGAATTTATGGTTAGATTATATTAATTCAAAGAATTTAAACACACTTGAGAAGGTTCATCTATAACGCAGGGGCCCTGTATGGACTCCTGTGCTATTCCTGGCAACTCTGCCCTTATTTCAACATAAAGATTAATTTATAAACATTTAAAGAAAAAACTGAGCGGTTTGCTTGCATTTTCTAAGACAGATTGGCAAAACAAAAAAGCCTTTTAATGAGTTACACATCACATAATGAGGAACATGCAATATTTAGCATTTTTCTTTTAAATATGTAGATTAAAGCAGAACTCTAGGAATCCTGTTCATTAACCCTTACAGTGGGGCTGCCCCCGCACTGCAAGGGTTAAGTGCTTGTTTGAGTCTAGGTGCTAAAACAAACAAACATATACTCACCCAAAGTCTGAGCCGATCAGCTGTCAATGCGCTCCAGCCAGCCTGTCCCCTTCTCTGCAGCACACTGGAATGTTCCTCAGGTCTATGCACAGTATGCAAACATGATGATTTACTGCACCTTAGACCACTGCAGAGGGGGAGATGCATTCCAGGGACTTGTCTAAGAATTAGCTGGCTTGGAGCCTTGATTGATTCAAAGGAGCAGTTAACCCTTGCAGTGCGGGTAGCCCCACTGCAAGGGTTAATATATAAAATTCCTGGAGTTCTGTTTTAAGTCACAGCAACCAAAGTAAATGGTTACTCCAAGGGATTGTAAGGGATTTTTCTATTTAAATCAATTAAATTGCATCAAAACGCATGTTAAGACATGTTAAAACACACCTGTTAGTGCATTCATTTGCATTATGATGCAAATTGACATGCAGTGTAAAGTAAGCCCACGGCTTACTTTAAGTGACACTAAACTTAGAACTTAGTGACACTAAACTCAGGAGTTAAATTTTTAAAAATACATAAGTACCTTAACTATTAATAAAAATGTAGCTTATTTGTGTATCGCTCAGCTGTAGATCCTCAAATTATCTCTGAATTGGTGCTGAAACTGTTCCTCCTTCTGGAGGGGGGGTACTTTTGTTCCCGATGGTGCCTGCCTGTGTTGTAAAGTAGTCACCGCTCCAAGCTCACTCCTGTGATGGACTACAATCTCACATTTAATTCACTAATTTGTATTGAGGTTGAAGTCCATCACAGGAGCAAGCTTGGCGCGGTGACTACTTTACAATACTACACAAAAGTAGCCACCATCCAGAAGGAAGGACAGTGTCAGCATGAATTCAAAGATGATCCAAGGATCTATAGCCGAGTGATTCACAAATAAGTTAGATTTGTGATTTGTATTAATAGTTAAGGTACTTGAATGCATTTTTAAGTTTTGACTCCTGAGTTTAGGGTCACTTTGACATGAATTGTGTCTTCTGTGAAAGTCAATAAGTTTCCTGTTGCAGTACCAATGGCCACTCCAGATCAAGTCACCGAGAACTGGACCACCACAGGATACATTCGTTACTGCAGATTATATTGCCCCTATTCTACCTCCTAATTATTAGTGTTATATATTTAGCATACATGGACTGCCATCACTGACTCCACTTCTGAAAATGTTAGTTGCCTGGCCATCACCAGTTAATACTTTGCGAGTGGCTAACCTGCAGCAAGCAAGAAGATGGGGAATTCGGCTTGCATTTGCTGTATTTCTGTCTGGGTCAGTTGCTCAAAACATTGAAGCCAGAGACCACCAAGTTACAGTCCGAGTCCTGCTAACTTGGCTGAAATTTGTGATGTGGCCCTGCTGGCACTACCCAGCTTTAGAAAAGTCGATTATTCAAATCGACTTCTGTCGAAGGAGCCGGGTGGAAAAACATCAGCGACAGTGAAGCCAGCGGATACAATACAACAGCTCGGGAACGGAGATTAACCAATCAACGCGATTTAGTGTGGATAGAGGAATCTGCTTGATTTCTTTCGCGCAGTCTGAGGCTAGGTTCACACCTGCACTACACCTGGGACGCGCGTCTCAGGATCGCATGGTCCTGTACAATATAGGCAGCGACTGCCGCACAGCCCCATTGATTTCAATGGGGTGAAATCCGCGCGGCAATCGCAGAAAAAAGGTAC